GCCCAGGCTGGCCTCGAACTTGCAGAGATCCGCCTGCCTCTGCCTCCCGAGTGCTGGGATTAAAGGCGTGCGCCACCACCGCCTGGCTATTATAAACTTAATATAATGTTTAGTTAGATAATTGATGCCTCTTAGTTTTTCCTGCTCTTAGAATTTTGGAGCATCTTGTAGTTTTTCTCTGTCCTTCTTGAACTGTCTACCCATTGATGCTTTGGGTTGAGTTAGTGTGGAGGGACTGGACACCCTTTGACTGGATTATAGTAATCCTTCTTTTGTAGTGTTATGTTTAGTTTTGTGTCTCATTGTCTTTATTATGATGAGGTATGTTCCTTCTGTTCTCAGATTCTTCAGCACTTTTATACTGAGTATTGTGATATGTAGCCACAAGTCTTTCATGGATCTGTTGACATCATCCAGTTTCTTCTCTTACTCACTCTACACATTTGGCATCTTCCATTGTTTAATTCATAGGGGTTGAAACAGTCTTGCATTCTTGGCATTAAATTACCTTGCATTTTATTTCCATGTAATTTAGAGACAATATCTGTGCCTATGTCCATCCTGGCAACTGGCCTGTGATTTTCCTTTGTACATACTTGTTTGGGCTCACCTGCTTTGGGTGCCAAGGTACAGAAAGCCTGCTCTTTGTCATGACTTTCTAGCATTCCTTTTCTTTGTGTTTGATTTACTGTCTTCCTTTTGACATTAGTATAAGGTTTGTCTAAAAGAAAGGAGAATTCTGTACTGAATCTGTCCAGTCCTCAGACAGTGTTAAAGGAAACTTGTTTCTAAGAGCTCATCATTTTCTTCAATTACAATTTCTATGTGTGTGACTTTTCACAGCTCTTCATAAGGTAATGCTGATGCCATTGGCATGCACTGTAATGTCCCCATTTCAATTCTAGTTGTATTACTTGGGGATTCACTCTTTTATCGCTTGGATTTGGTGAAACATTTCATCAGTATTTTTGTCAATTCATAGAAACAAGTCTGTTGCTTTGACTCACTGTATTATCTTTAGGTCTCTATTTCTTGAATTCCTACGCAACCTTTCTAATATCTTTCTACATACTATCTCAGATCTACTGTTCTTATGCTTATAAGCTATCAACCACATAATTATGGACAAATGTCTATTACAGCCAATGCCTATTGCTGCTAAACCTTAATGTTTCTTTGTCACCTCATTTCTGTGTCACTGTCTTTCATGAGCTGGCACTCTAAGAAGGTGTCCTCAATACTCCATGAATTCCGTCTCACTGTTCATTAAATATTCACAGTAGCTAATTAAAGAATAAACCAGGGGCTAGAAAGGTGGTTCAGCAGTTAAGATCACTTGATGCTCATGCAGTTTCTCGGGTCGGTTCTCCTAATGTGCCCTGTGCCTTAACAGCTTTCTATAACTCAGGTTCCAGAACAGTAATTCTTAACCTGTTCTCCTGGGAAACTCACACCACAGCAAAGTGTATTTGTTGCCACAGTTGGTGTGGCTGGATCAGGGACTGGCATTGATAGGATGTTTGGCAGGTTGGTTATTGACTATGCCAGGAAACCATCTCCCAAGGTTCAACCCTTCTTCTGTCTGTCCTGGGCTGTTCCCTGTCTGAGGCTATGGGTATCGGTATCATCTGTTTAATGGCCACCTTACTCATCTTCCTCACTGAGGCTCTGTCATGCAGTTATCTGAATCAGTGATAGTCCCAGTGCTGAAGTGTAAACAACAAAGCTTTATTATTCAATATTGTGTTTTTCTAAGTACCCCGTCTCCCCCAAATTTACAAGGCAAATCTTTTTGTCATTTAAAATCCTTCACTCTTAGTGTTTTGTGTCAGATTTGAAGTGAATATTTTGTGGGAAATATATGCTTTAATTTCATTTTCACTGTGTAGCCTGGGGGGCCTGTAACTAATCTTCATGCACACTAGGATGCTCTCCAACACACAGAACTCCACCTGGTCCTGCCTCTCAAATGGGTAGATTAAGGTGTGCACCATCACATCCAGACTCATTTTTCATTTGTTTGTTCTATTTTTCAAAAAGCTGCATGCTGAGTTGCATGTAGGTGCAGTAAGTTGGATTCCTACTAGCACTGTGCGTATGTTCTTGCTCTTGTATTGTCTCCAGTATCTGTTGTTAATATCAATGTAGTTTATATGAGCATTTTTGACACTTTGATTTGAAAGGGCAAAAAGAGGTCTGGTCGTTCTTTCTGAGACACAATCTCAAGAGCAGAGCAACAGGAGAAATGGCTGCTTCTCCAGTAAATACATTCAAGATCAGGATAGTGTCTACTTTTTTTCTGGGAATGTCATATATTGAGACTATGCAAACCTTTAAAACTCCAGTTTTGATAATGTTACCTAGGGGTTGGAGAGATGGCTCAGCAACAAAGAACACTCATGTGATGGCTTGTAACCATCCATATTCCGGTTCCAAGGGTTTTAATGTCTGTTAAGGATTTCTCATACCTACCCATGTGATGCTTTCTATTCTATCCCATAAAGACAGAGAAAAACACTTTGTTGTAGACAGACACATACAGAGAACACAGACAGATAGACACATACAGCATACAGACACACAGGGATAGATTCACAAGACAGCCTTCAGGGAAGCACAGATTCAAACTCATGGAAGAGATACCCAGAGGATGGAAGGGACAGGGAGCTTCAAGTTTAGAATTCAGATCTGGACTTGTTCTTAGTTCAATGACTCCAAGGGAAAATGCTTTCATTTTTTTCCTTGACTCAGCTAGGATGCATTATTTGTGACAAGGAGTTAAATCACTAATTTGTTTAATCCATGCACATATGGAGAATCTATTACATAGGACATCATTGTTTTTCCATAAAGAGAGAAGCAATAGAACTCACCACATTGTGAAACACTCAGTCCTGTCATGTGAAAGGTGCCCATGGGCTCAGAACGAACCCTGTGCTTTAATGATGGGCCCTACCTTTGCATTTGTTTTTCTGTGTGCTCACCTCCCTGCAGAGCTGGGATGCCTATTTACACCTCGTGAACACAACAGCACAGCTTAAACCTCAGAACACACCAGAGCAACCTGATCCTCATTATACTCATGACAAATCTATTTCTTAGCAAGAATTTCTAAAGGAGCTGGAGTAATTCTGGAGTCTCTTTTCCTCAGCCTATGAGATCGGCATGGGTATACACAGAGAATTGTATGTAACAATCGGAGGAGCATTGATGGATAAATGTCTAAATAGTATAGTATATAGGTTAATTCTGTTTCTAGTTTTTGGTTTTTTTTTTTTTAAGAAAAATATAGAATGCTTTCCAAAGTGGCTTCTCTAGTTTATAATTCCAGGTAGTGTATAACAGTGTTCCTTTTCTAACATTCATATCAGAATTTGTTATTTATCCTGGTGATGACCATTATGACGGGCGAGATGAAATCTTTAAGGAAATTTAGTCTGTATCTCCCTGATAGCTATGTACGCAGAACTTTTTGTTAACATGGCTTGAGAAGTACCTGAGCTAACTGCACAGCCTAATCAGGAGACAGGAGTGTAGAAGCGCATCTGATGCCTGCTGACTTTAAAGACCTTATGGAACTAAAGTAGGAACTCTAAAAGAAATGATCAAATCTCCTGTTGTAGAACCATTAGGTTCTGGTGGTGCCATATTGCTCTTTATGTTGTTGAATATATTCTTACACTGCTGTTTACTCTTCTGGGTTTGGATAATTATAGGTACTGGTGTTGATTCTTTTGATATCTTTATTGGATGGCTCTTTTGTTCCTTTATTGTCTGTTTCCTTTATTGCCTTTTGGCCTGAATGGCCAAGGGTTCTGGTGATTGGCTGGTGGTTAAATTGAGTAGGGTTGTCTTAGCTGAGGTTCATAGGGGTTTGTGTGCCCAGATCCAGTGTATTGTCTAGTTCTTCTGGCTCTTGTGGCCTCTACTTCTGCCTTTTGGGTCTGTTCTAACTGGTGTGAGTTGTGCCTGTGCCTATGGAGTCTGTTTTTCCATCTGGTCTAAGTTTGCCTGTGCCTGTTCTTCCAACTGGTGTGGGTGGTGCTTGTTCCTATAGGGTCTGTTGATGTTGCTGGAGAAGGCTGTTCACAGGGAGGTTACTGGGGTAGGTGGGATTGGGCGGCAGAGTGGGTCTGTTTTTCCAACTGGTATAGGTGGAGTTTGTGCCTCTAGGAGCTGCTGATGTTGCAGGGGATGATTGACCATGGGAGGATGATTGGGTTGGTGGGTTTGGGTGGCGGTGTGGGTCTTGTAGGTCACAGAGTCCAATGGGTGGTGGTGGTGGTGGAATGGCCTGCCTGCTGGACTCTTTCCTGCTGGCCGGTTGCAAACTATTGTTTTTATTATTACTGTTCAGTTTTAATTAATCAAATAAAAGCAAAATCAGATAGTATCAAACAAAAGTTCTACCACCAAATAAGTCATTGATATCTCCTCTTAAATTCTGCTTGTATAAATTTTATAATTATTACGTATTATTATTTAATGATTGCATTGGTTCATTTACTCACCATTACCCCTTGTTACCATCTGTCCTGTTGCAGGGTAAACATGTTTTCTTCCCAGTTTTCCTTCTCATATTTCATGTATGATTTGGGCAGATTTGGGCCAAGTATCCGGGCCGTAATCTGTCCTTAATTCCAACTAGCATGTCATATGGCTAGAGAGTTTTTCACGTCACCTCCCCATCCTCCAGCTCTTAAAATCTTTTATCTCTTCTGTAATGTTCTCTGCAAATGAGATATGAGAAGATGAAATTCCCATTATAGTCCATACAGTAATCATTTAATTGTTCTCAGTATTTGCTGAGTTATGAGTCACTGAAATAACTGTTGTCCCTTGAAAGCCAAGTTTCTTAGACCCAGGCCGAAAGCAACACCAGGCTATGGTATGCTCAGAATCAGTAAAATACAGTTTGAATATTTGTACCTGAGGCAGAATGTCAGTAGTGTATTCCCTCCTAGGGCCTGTGACCTTTACCATCACTGTCTTTTGGCCAGGTTCCTAGTACCATCCATGTATTTCTTTCTGTGGAGCCAGCTTCAGATGAAACCAGAAGGCCTTCTGTTACCCACAAAATGGTCTTGCCACTATGACACCTTGCCTGGCAGGTTGGTATTGTAGCACACTGGATCCAAATCTGGTTATGGCCATTGATATCTCTGCCCCCTGTCCCAGCCTGCATAGCAGTTTTTGACACTATAAATGCTACTACCACTGGGGAGTCTAAGATGGTTTTTAGACCCTGTGAGTGGTCTGCTGACTTCTCAGCTTCTCATTGGTATGTAAAAAAAAGTGATGTTATATGTGCATTATATAGCATATGAGGAGGTCTGTGAGATCTTAAGCTTTCTCATGAGTATTTTCACTTTTAAATTGCAGCATTCTATTTCTTATTGAAGAGGTCCCCTTTCTTTATTACTGAATTATATTATCACTTTTAAAATTTTCTATGTCTGAACTGTGTAACCATTGATGCAATGTTTTGAGTGTGGAAGTCACCCTTTTCTGTCATCTGGCAAAAGGATTCCAACTGTCCTTTTGTATTGTTAGGTTTAGGATTGTGTCTCATTGTCTTTTTTTATGCTGAGATATATTCTTTTTTTTGTCACATTCTTCAGAGCTTTTATAACTGGCAGGTATTATACTTTGCCACAGACCTGTCATGGATCTCTTGACATGATCCTATTTCTTCTCTCACTGAGTCTACATATTTGGTGTCTAACATTGATTAATTTATATATTGAAACAGTGTTGCATTCTTGGCATTAAATCACCTCTCATTCCATTTCCATGTAATTTAGACACAATCTCTATGTCTATGTTGATCCTGGAATCTGGTCTGTGGATTTTCTTTGAATACGTTTCTTTGGGCTCATCTGCTTGGGTATTTGGCCTCTGCTGCTTTGGGTGTGGGAGGAAAGCTAGCTTTGTATGATGACTTTCTACCATTCCTTTTCTTTGTGTTTTATGTGATATTCTCCTTGTGGTCTTAGTGTAAGGTTTGTCTAAAGGAAAGGAGAATTCTCTTCTGAATCTGTCCAGTCCTCAGACACTGTTAGGGAACTTCTTGCTTCAGTCTCAGCACTGTTTAATGCCTTTCTAGCTTTATACCTTAGCAGTTTTTCACTTATTTCTAGGAGCTTGTCCCTTTCTTCTTCAGTTCCAATTTGTTGTGTATGACTTTCCAGAATACTCCATAAAGAAAGTCTGATATTATTGGGATATGTCGCAATATCTTTTTTTCAACTCCAATTCTATTACTTGGGGATTCATTCTTTTAGTTTGGACTAGGTAAAAAGTGCTTCATCCATCCTTTTGTCAATTTACAGAAACAAGTTTGTTTCCTTGACTCATTATATTTGTGTCTAGTTTCTATTTCATTAAATTCTATACAATCTTTTAAATATCTTTCTGTATATCATTTCACATTGACTTACTATGCTTGTAAACCCTCAGTCACATTATTATGGACAAATATCTTTTTAAAAAAAAAAAGATTTATTTATTATGTATACAGTATTCTGCTTGCATGTATGCCTGCACGCTAGAAGAGGGCACCAGATCTCATTACAGATGGTTGTGAGCCACCATGTGGTTGCTGGGAATTGAATTCAGAACCTCTGCAAGAGCAGCCAGTGCTCTTAACCTCTGAGCCATCTCTCCATCCATGGACAGATATCTTACAAACACTGTCCAGTGCTCCCTAAACTTCTCAGTGTATCTTTGTCACTCCTCTTCCATGTCACTGCTTTTCATGAGCTGTCATTCACTCTGACACTCTACTAGAGTGTCCTCAGGTCTCCATGAATTCAGTCTTATTCTTCATTGAACTCTCTACAGTAGTTCTCACCATTGAAAATCCAACATGTCAATTGTGGCCATTGAACTGTACCGAGGCCACACTGTAGTAACAGAACAAGGCTTTAGTAAAATCTACATCCATGGAGAAAGGGAGGCAGGGTTGCAAAACAAACTCCATCCAAAGGAGCTTTTACATACTCCAAGTTCAAGCTGAGAGTCAGGAGAAAAGTCTCATTTATGGCATAGATAAGCTGTGAGACTTCAGGTTGGAGCCGAGAGACAGTGGGACAGGTTGCAGAGGCTTAAGGAAGCTGTGCAGCCCAGCAGACCTTTCCTTGGTGGAGGAGGCAAGGAAACAAGGAGGTTGGTTCCAGTAGAGGGAGAGGAGCAAGTATCTTAATAACTCGAGGTTTTTCCATATGGTGGGGCTCCAGAAAGTATAGCAGGCTCCAGGAGACAGAGATGATAATTACTGAGGAGGCGAGGAGAGAGGAATGGCTAGATCAGGAGGAGGGAATAGTCATCTGATGAGGCAGACTCTAGAATTTGGAACCAACTATGATTGGTTGCTGAAACAGATGATTTGTATACACCTTAAAGAGAGTCAAATCAGCAGCTTGAGTCTGACGGGTTGAGACATTGCATGGCTGAAGGTAAATATGCCAACTTCTACCAGTGCTACTTGAAGACAAGAGAACTCTGGAAGGGAGTAGTGTTTGGAGACTTATGTTAGAAGCTGGGACAGGGAGTGTAGAGAGAAGACAGTAATAGGTGACCCAAATTTAACTTCTTTGATTTGTGTAAAAGCAATTGAGCTGCAGCCAGAGGTACATTCTTGTATATCATTGTATGGAGGTGTAGCTTTAATACCCTTGTCTTAAACCCTATCTGTAGGGTCCCAGTCCAGTTCCCAGCCTCTACCCAGAGTACCTCAGAGAAAAACTTCCAGGAGCGAGGGAAGGAAAAGATTTCTTTAACATATCACATGAGCAAATGCTCTTCATTCTGTGTGCTCTTTATTGTTCTACAGTTACAAATTCCCAAGCATATGTATATCCATTCATTAACAAGTTGTTAGTAATAAAAGGTTACAAGGTCATATCTCAGAAACACCTGTCATGGTTCTGGCAGTCTCCCTTGATCAAATCTGAACCATATTATTCCTGAAGAATTCCACAACCCCTTGTCTCTTGTGGGAACAAAACTCCAATGCATTTTTTTTTTCTTTTTAAATTTTTAAAATTTTTCTCTTTTCTTTTAGGTATCTGTCAGGGACAGTTTATAAGCAGTGTCAGAATCTAATCCATAATGCCATGTGGTCTTTTACATTTCTCTTGTTAAGACCCTGGGAACTAGTCCTAGAGAACCCTTCAAGGACAGATGTTCAAAAGCAAAGGTCACATTCTAAAGGACTTTTTACCAACTGCCTGCTTCTTTTGACTTTACAGGAACTTGGGTGAATAAATTCCCAGTAGAAATGACACACAACCACAATCCAATGTGGTTTTTTTGATTTTTGATTTCCATTTGACAAATATATTTTTGACTTTTTTTAAAAGTTGAGATAGCCCCAAAGAATCTCGGTTGGTTCAATTTTGCAGTCCTATTTACAAGCCCATGTCTGCCAGCAGCTGTTGTTTGCTTATTACCAATCAAAAAATGCAAAACCAATACAATAACATGCAGGATCCAGACTCTGTATTTCCCAACTCTACATGGCTTATTCTTTTTTATATTACTTTTACCCTCTCTTTAAAGACCTCATTTTTTTTTAAAATAATTTCTTTCTTTCTGTGACTGTCTATACCCATTTTCTTTTCTTTTTTTAAGCCTATGTACATTGTAAAACACACTGTCACCTGTTTAGAGATTTTTTTTACATCTGGGCCTCTTTTGGTACATACTTCTAGTCTTTTTTGATTGCATGAGTAAACGTTATACTACTAAACTACACCTGGTTCCTCTGCACGGCTCTATCTAATGACTCCACTTGCTTCCTGGGTCACGAAAGCCAATCTTAGGTAGCTTGGTCGGCGGTGCATGACCTGGAACTGCATACAATCTTTCTAGGTGTATGCAGCCAGTACCTTTGTTGCCACAAGTGGTTTTTACTTGGCTTGCATTTTTTATTAAGTGTTGCCAGCTGAACAGCATTGAGTCTTCTTTCTTTCTTCCTTTCTTCCTTTCTTCCTTTCTTCCTTTCTTCCTTTCTTCCTTTCTTCCTTTCTTTCTTTCTTTCTTTCTTTCTTTCTTTCTTTCTTTCTTCCTTCCTTCCTTCCTTCCTTCCTTCCTTCCTTCCTTCCTTCCTTCCTTTCTTTTTTTCTTCCAGCTTTTCCAGGACCTGCATGGAAATTCGGCCCGCATTGGTATACCAAAAGGTTGTTTGGTCGTTTTTGCTCTTTTGTCTTCGGGAGGGGGCCTGCCACCCAGCTCTCATGTATATCACACACTGAGGCTTATTCTTAAATATAAATGCCTGGCCTTAGCTTGGCTTGTTTCCTGCCCAGTTTTCTTAAATTATCCCTGTCTATCTTTTGCCTTGGGCTTTTACCTTTCTCTATTTCTGTATACCTTTCATTATTTCTTTTTTTTTTTTTTTTTTTTTTGGTTTTTCGAGACAGGGTTTCTCTGTAGTTTTGCGCCTTTCCTGGAACTCACTTTGTAGACCAGGCTGGCCTCGAACTCACAGAGATCCTCCTGCCTCTGCCTCCCGAGTGCTGGGATTAAAGGCGTGCGCCACCACCGCCCGGCTACCTTTCATTATTTCTTATTCCCTGGCTTGTTGTGCAGCTGGGTGGCTGGCCTTGATGTCTTTCCTTATTCACCTCCCAGATTTTTCCTTTTATTTATACTCTCTGACTGCCAGATCTGCCTGTCCTTTCTCCTGCCTTGCTATTGGCCATTCAGCTCTTTATTAGACCATCAGGTGTTTTAGACAGGCAAAGTAACACAGCTTTACAGAGTTAAACAAATGAAACATAAAAGATTGCAATACATCTTTGAATGATTAAACAAATATTCTACAACATAAACAATGTAACACACCTTAAAATAATATTCTACATCATGGGAGAGCATAAAACAGCAGGCTAATGCCATTCATACCAATAAGACATCTGAATTTCTGTAAAACTGAATCCAGTGAGCTGAGACAAAAAGAAGGCTAAGAGATAGGGAATTTTTGAACCCTGAGTAAAGACAGAAGATGCTGTAGGAGAGAGTTGAGAGACTACAAGCTAGGGAAGTGTGTGTGAGATGTGGGCACATTGCAGCTGTCCTGATCCTTTGATTTCTCCCCCTCCTGCTA